TAAGCAGAAATGGGCAACAAAACTAAGGCTGATGAAAAAAGCAGAAATGGGCAACAAAACTAAGGCTGATGAAAAAAGCAGAAATGGGCAACAAAACTAAGGCTGATGAAAAAAGCAGGAATGATTATACAGTTTGAAATTTTAAAATACATTTCACTTATTCAATGACCTTTAATATTTATATAGTTCAACTTTTCATTTGAAAATTGGTGATAGTTCTTCATCCCAGCAAACTCAAAAATCAAAATTGTGTATCACTGTACAAACATCATCTTCTATTATAATATAAAGTTAAAATTATACTAAATATCACCTACATGTCCTTGAACTTATTATTTTTTGTCATTTCTAGTCACATTAATAATCTGACAGTAGTGTGTTACCTGAGAAAAGAACAATATCTAGTGTATTATTGATTAGAATGAAGAAGTCTTGATAATCCCTTCAAAGGACAACTGGCCAATCAGCTGACTTGTGTTGACACTATTCTGTTTTCTTGAAAATCGGATAATCAGTTTGCTGCAGTCTCATTAATTAATGATTGCTATTTTCATTCTTCATTCTGTGGATGTAAAGGATTTGGGTAGATTTGTAAGAACATTCCCTCTGAAAGGCTGTCATATGGAGCCATATCAACCAATTAAATCACAGGAATTTTATTAAAGTTTGGTGTAAAAATAAAGATGTGACTGAGAAGGACTGGTTAGATTTATGTACAATACCCATAATGTGTAAATATCTGTAATGTAAATTTTAATCTTTTATAGAGTAAGAAACCTGAATACAGAATTTGATTATCTTATGTTGAAAATAAATTTCCCTGCTCCCACCTGTACACACAATTCAGAAAACAGTTGTTTTCCATACTGTGCCAACTGTACATGCCGATTCTGGTATGAAACAGTTAATGGGTTAATGTACTACGCCTAATGCATTGAACAGTTCAGTGGATATGGCACATGTACGTCAAGCTATGACAAATGAGCATTATTAGCAAAGAACACAGGACAAATATCACACTTTAAAGGACATCAATGCCTGCATTTGTTTCATCTAGTTTTCATTAATTCATATAAAATTTATCAGTACAAAAGTCATATGCCTTACAAAGTTGATTGGCTTTGCATACCCTTGGCCCAGTTTCCACCATACAGTCTTGATCAAAGATTACAATCTGGATATGTCTACTTACATATGTGATTTTATGCTAATGTCAACACAAACAAGTCTGCAGCAGACATTATTTCTATAGTAGCTATGTGAAACATACAATGGCCTTGACAATGTACAAAAACTTCAACACATGCCAAACTCTAAATCAGTCACAGATAGTCATCATTACAAAATCATTGGCACGTCATGCTATTTTATACGTCAAGGAGCATCTATGTTATATCTAAAATGAGCCTGATTCTCTTCAGGATTTCTTCCATTTGTAACCTTTTTCCCTTACAAATATTACATTCACTAAAGAAATGATGAAAGTATAGAATATTTAGTGATGTAAATAAATACAACAGAACACTTGTTTTCAACTTTATTGCAAGTGGATACGAAATCACCTTCAATTGTCTTTCCAAAACTTGTGAAATATTTCATGAGGACTTAAAAGTATCCCAGCAGATTGAATACAATGTGGGTTAGAATACTGACTGGTCACAATAAGTACAAAACTAGCTTTGAAATAGGATACCATACAACCATTAGAGCTGAAGTTGTACACAATATCTGTGAAACATCAAGAAAGGAAAGACAGTCAATATCATTAACTACCCATATGAAATCTGTTTAATGGTCCTTGGAAGAAACCATATTACTTTTATTGAGGCAGCCATTTTCAAAATTGATAATTCAAATATCGATCATTACATATTTTCACCTTACCAGTGGGGTAACACCCAAGTTAAAATTCTCTGTCTGCATTCGAGAACCTATAAATCTTCAGGTATTGGCCACAATTTTTTTATTCCTTCATATCTTTGTGTAATATATTCAGAAGTCAATATGTGATTCTCTCTCCATTTGCACACTGATGACAGCAGGAGCTTGATCTGCCCCTTTGAACTTAGTCTGGTAAATATTCATACTTCGAGGACAGAACCAGGTCATCTGACATGTATTGTCACAGAGTTACTTTGGTGATAGCAAGCTTCTATTTACCTGATAAGATATAGTTTGGAAAGAAAAGCCATAACAGTAACAGAAATATTAATGGGAAAGCATCATCCCCCCCCTCCCCCTTTCAACTTGTATGTCAGATTTCCAGGTTCTTTCATCGAGTTGCCAAGTGCACAAGTCACGGTAATCCAGATTACTGACAGCAAAAATCACAAGGTTGTTAACATTGCCACTTTAATTTATGCTATCTATTGTGTTTATTCTCTTGTTTACACCAGCATTGTAATATATTGCCTACCTGTCATGTTAATTGAGACTTGAAACACTAGATAATTCAATGTTGAATTATTTGTATCAAGTCATAGCTGAATGTGGAAATTTGTTCTGTGTTTAAAAGACGCTTTTCAAGGAAATGTTTGTTATGTAATGCACATGAGATGACAAAGAATATGGATGGTGCTTTATTATTACTGGATTAAATAGCTTTACAAAGGCATGAAATGACAGGAGGTCCACAGGCCTAAACGTGACTGTAAAGACCTATATTTTAAAGAGGTAAATTAGATCTAAAAGAAATTGCTCAAATACTCTACACCTTACACAGAATACATTGTTGGTTCATAACGATATGTTCTGCAAACTTGAAATCATATTCTTTATACATGCACTACACAACTGTCATTACTCCAGATATATTGCTAGTTGAAAAAGCATGCTACAGGCCCAATATCAAGACCCTTGGCCTTTTGTTATTGAAAAGAAGTTGCTTAAGCATTTCAAAACATTTAACCCCTGTGACCTTGAAAGTTGGTCCAATATCAGAACCCTAGACCTTTTTGTTACGGAGAAGAAGTCATTTAAACATTTTAACACATTTAAAACTTGTGACCTTGAAAATAAGTTAATGTCATTCATTTTAAAAAAGTTGATCACCCTACATTCTAGCAAACTACAGGACTAATATCATCCTGTGTCTTTCGGTTATTGTGACCTTTCAAGCGGATCAAGGTCATTCCTATGAACTAGGGTCAATCAACTTTTTGATGTTTTAGAGTAAATTTGGTTGAAATCCATTGAAGCATTAAGAAAGAGTAGCATTTTGATGCAAAATATTGTCTTACTTTTCCATTCAAAGTCCCCAGGGGTCGATCAACTTTCTGAATTTAAGAAATGAATCCCCACTCTCAAACATGTGTTTCTGGTTGAAATCCATTTAAGCGTTAAAAAGGACTAGCGTTTTGAAGCAAAATATTGTCCCCAAGTTCCTAAGGGTCAAATAATATTTATGAATTTAAGAAATAATTGCCTACCCTAACTGATGAATCAGGCCAAAGCTTGTTGAAATCCACCCAGGCAGAAAGGAAGAGTAGTGTTTTAAATCTGAAATCAACATCTCCTCTTTGGCGGCCCCTCTCTTAACCCCTAGGGGTCAATTAAAAATTCAGAATTTAAGAAATGATTACCCTCACACAAAGATGCATCAGACCAAATTTGTTGGAAATCCATTCTGGTATGAAAGAAGAGTGGGGTTTTAAAGTTAAAATTTTATGCACAACGCACAATGCATGACTGACGAAGCAAATGGACTATAGGTCATCCTGACCCTTCATGTCAGTTGACCTGAAAATGATGCTTAAGATAGATTAAAAAAGTATTGATGTTACTTTCAGGAACATGACTTTTGTTTATTTACACAATTGATAATCTAATGGAATTTAAAGAAAACGTTGAGTCTGATTTCCCTATGGAAAGTCTCATAATTGTAAGTTAATCATAAAGTGGCACTCAAGCATGAACACGTCACATTTAACCGGATGTATGGCTGCATGCAGATGACTCGAGATTTGTGCACTAAATAAAAAACAAAATTGGAAATGATTTTTTAGTTGTTTCACTGAAAGGTACCAAGGCTACAAAGATATATTTGCATACAAGCAATAATAAAGTATTCAATTGTAGGTAGCATGAGAATCAACCCTAACAACATAGGGCTAGCATAATCGCACATTCTGTATGTGAAATATAGCGATCATAATATACTAAAAATAGCAGGATTAATAGATATGAAATCCATATATATATAATTCCAGCTAACTTAAGTATAATGGATATATTTCACATATAGAACATTTCATGTTTCCGAACCAGTGGTATACTTCACAAGTTGACAAGGCTTATGATCAGTCGGCAAACTATATAAGAAAACTTAACCATCCATAAGTGCCTTCAGTGCTAATTTGGTCCCTTGTTTGTCACAAGCTATTTCATAAGTCATTAACATTATAACCATAAACAAATATCTAACATGTACATTAATATAGAATTACTTTTTTAAAATACTTTTTTAGGTGACTTTAGAAGCAGACACACGCAGACACACAGTTAGGTATGGTTTAAAATTGGGAAACATTGAAACCTAGGTAAAAAAATTTCTAATTTATTTCAAACTAACAAAAGTTTATATGATGTTCGGAATATCATTGGGCTCTATTCATCCTATTGCAGCCAAAAACTATGAAGATAAAGAATCTTTAATAAGATATTATTAGTAGATAGAGACAATAAACAAAATCATGGTTTATACCAAGATGCGTGAAAAGAGAAACTCTGATGTTTATGTCCACATTGTATGTCCAAATTAAACATCATCAACACTGATTATTCTGAAAGCACAACGCCAAATCTCAAAACCAGCACCGACTTCATGTTTTCGATAAAATAATAACACATTGTGATCAAACTAATATTCCAATATTATGTTACTTTTAACAATACCTACATGGTAGTCCTACAGAAAAGTGACATTTATAGCTGTGTTACCATACAGCTAGATGGTAAATGTTAGTGGCTCCATGCTGTCAATATAAACAGGTTGTACTTACAATGATCCAATGTTCTATACCATCTGCTGTTAATTATCAGCTTTCCATCCCCTGTAATAGAAAATGGTGTTTGAGGTTCCACTTATCAGTTTCATGTCTATCCTACTCAGTACAGAAAGCGTGACACAGCCATTACCACTTGTCCATATTTCTCATACATATCTTTCAAGTTACATGATTTTTTTGCTTTGAACTAGATTTTTTTACATGAAAGACTAGCATAATCTTATATTGACACTAAAAGTGAGATATGTTTTTCATTATAAGCTTACATGCAAGCAGCCAACAAATTGTGAAGAGGCAAAACACTGGCACCTGTTCTGTGTTATCTTTCCAACAGCAACTTTTTACATGATTATTTTGAATGTTTTGTGTGAATACAATGTAAAACAGGATACTGACATGCAAAATTTTCACCACTGGACATCCCATGAGATAAATATCTCTTTCATCATCTTCAAGTGCCAGTGCACACTGCACAAGCGACACAAGTCAGACTTGTAGTAAGACATATTTCTAAAAAAGTATTAAGGAGCTTCCTACAAAAATTGTGGGTGACATTCCTATATATTACTATTGTTTATATTTGACCAGTTGAGGAGTGTACAAGATACCTTCTATACATTATTGGAACAGAGCATTATGTAATAACTGTATGATATATACAAACAACTAGACATGAAATGGTGAATCAATGAAGTGATCTGTATCTTCAAAGAAAATACTTGCCTTAAAGCTTGAGCAAAATGAAATTTAGTCAAGTCTTCTATCAAATACATTACAAACAAAGATATTTCCAAGCATTAGATTCAATATAACATAAGAGGCAGACCAACCCTAGCCATGTTGTGGTGGCTACAGACTGGTTGTCACTGATCGATCTATATGATGTTTAAGCCTTAGGTGATTGGAAATCTCCAAATCAAATCCACATTAGTTTCAGTCTCCAACTGAGTTTGGCTACACACACAAGAAATCAATAGCAAATACTTCCTTGATATCAATATTTAATTAGATTAAGGTCCTCTTAATGATTAAGCCAATGTATACTCACAGCTTTTAAATAAGGATATTGTTGAGCTAAAATGAATTAAATTCAGTATCTGAATTCTGATGTATTAAATGTAACACACACTAAATAATTCAACAGGAGACTCAGTTGCCTGACTAGGTGACATAATCTTTACCCTAATAACTGGTCCAAAGTCATATATGTGAATCAAAAGGATAAATACAAACACCATAGTATTGACATTTGTACTGCATCACTGTAAATTAAGTGCTTCTTAAACAAGAACACATTGACAGATTTTGAAGGTTGACAATTTGCATAATCTTTGTTCTTACAAATTGCCTTTTCTTTAATTCTGAAAACAGTGTTTTTTTTACTGGAAATTGTTCAAAATACTTAACAGTCCCCTGAATTACATTGCTGTCATTGTTTTTGTCTCTGAAATAATCTTGTGAACTGGTTTGCTTGTGACAAAGCATTATTAGAACACTAGACCCCTTAGCTAGAGTCCCTCACCTGTCTTGAGAGCTAGTCCTAATTTGAACTGTCAAACAAAAAATCCTAGAAGGATCTTGGTGCCAACCATTGTTTGATCTTTATTGGTTCTTTAAAAGTCATATCTTTTCCTTTCTTTTCTTTTCTCTGTGTTAATGCTTTATCAAAAGAAATAAAAACATTCCTTCCCCAACACCCATCCTAAAATGGGCACATTTTGGGATGTAAGTGGAACCAATATATGAAATTTGAAAAAGATCCATCTAGTACTTCTCAAGAAATAACGATAACACTTTCATTGTTGTGTGAAATCTAAAAATGTCTTCCTGTTGGCCATTTTGTTTTTGTGATCAGTCCCAAAATCAAACAGGCACACCTAGGGACCAAGGGGTATCTAAATATGAAGTTTGAGAGAGATTCTCATTTTATCTGCCTTTAGATGTGTTTACATCTTTATCTCTGCAGAATCAGTGTTTTTCCTGTTTAATATTAAGAACAATCCAGTACTTATTGAGAAATAGCCATCATATGAACAAATAAATAAAAAGGCCTTTGGTCAGACATTGAATTGATTACTGACACACTGATGACAGTGGGCTTAAAGTTGTTTATAGAAAAATTATCTGATTGTTTGACAGTACATGACAGATGCTAAGTCATGAGTGAAAGTGGTTTGAATAGCAATCCATCTATAATGATTTTTCTGCATCTATAACAATTTTGTCTCCATCGTTGATTTTGTCTCAATCTTCAATGATTTTATTTTCATCTATAATAATTTGGTCTCCATCTTTAACAACTTTGTCTCCATCGTTAATGATTTACTCAAAAATGGTTTTGTTACATTCAATAAAAAGTCTGTAGATACAATCACTTAAACTGAAAGAGCCATTCAGGAGGTGGCAACCTGTTACAAGGCTCAACCTGTCTGAAGCTTTAACATCAGGTTAGAAGCTGAACTTGGCCCAGTCATGTTGAATAACTATCATCACAAGCTTTTAGTGCCAAATGCCAAATCACTTGCATTGGATATTGACAAAATGTCAGCCTGTCTGTTCATCAATTAGTTATCAGGAGCCAAGGCCTCTAAGTCTATAAGGGAGCAAGCTAAGCAGAATTTCTCTTTTAGTTTTGAATGACCAGACCTTCCTACTACACCATCATTTAAATTAAGACCTTTTAATTCCAAGTCAGGTCTGAAAAAAAATGTGTTAAAGTGTCAGGATTTCCACAAAGCATTTTTTAAAAGTGGGTTCTTATTGGTACTAGAAAAGAGATTCTTGATAATATGGGATCATTTTCATATTGTTGTTCAAAGGGATACAAGACTGGTTTTAAAAGAAAAGACTTACAAGAACCTCGAAATAGAACACAAAACCGTAGCATTCACATGAAAGAAAACCTTTGATTTTCCAATGATAAATCTACAATTCTTTTTAATGAGTCTTTTTTAACTTTCTTGCAAAATAAATGGACCCTGCAATGTAAAATTTAAGGAATTCTATAAATTCTATGTGTCCTATCAAAGTTCTAGGAGTACAGGACTCAGAACTCCCATGTACATTGATCAATGATTTTCCAGTCATACACATTGATCATTAACTCAATGATATTAAGTTAGGACGCTTCATTGGCATCATCTAGAGTAGAAAACAGAACCAATCATTTGACAATCCTCCTCTCCATAGTAAATGCTTTGTGCTTTTTCTATCTTGCAAGAGAACTGATCCGCTGGCTTCATAACAAAATTTTACATTCTACTATAACCACATTTTCAATAAATGTTCACAAACCAGGCATCTGTGTAATGAAATCCTTTTTACAATCTTGTTTCTGGCTCATGATGTCAGTTGAAATGCGGTCAATATACATGACAAGAAAAGAGCCTGTTTCTATTGATCTTAAAGATATTCTCACCAAGAGGATCGCTTATAAATTTGTTCCACAAAGGCATGTAATTTGGTCATTATGGTATATATGCAATGGTGATGATATAACAAATATACATTAACACCATTGGTTGTTACGCCTGTAAAAGGCGATATTATATCTCCACCAGTGTTAGCATGTACTGATCAATACTGTGCTGGTTTCTTCACAAAAGCATGGTAGAGAAGAGCAGCAATCATTTCTGGTGTGAGTTGTCAACTGGTACAGAATCAATATGTGGGCCTAGCTCAGGTATCTTGGTCAGTATATGGTTGTAGTACCCCCACCTACACCAACAGCAATGTTAATGAAACAATGAGCAACACTTACCACCTAACACACCAAAACATCATTCTCAGACAGCTGATACCTCACAATGATAGGTTGGAAATTAACTCACAATAAACTCAGAATCAAGACAGTTCCTCAAACTACCGCAATTTGCTGCATTTATGACATCAATAACAATGCAGATTCATTATGATTATTCACCAATCGTGACGTAACATTTTGACAATTTTGCTTACGGCAGCATTTTCACTGTCCTTTTAACTATAAAAATCCTTTAATTTGATTTCAGATTCTGATGAATAAATCTGAATTTCAAACCACAATCAAACATTGTACATTCTACTTTGTCTTGGAATAGGTACAGACAGGTCAATATTTCTTTAATCTTTACACGAAGTACTACCGCATCCAGATCTGCAATGCAGACATGTACATTTAACTTGTAGGTCTGTTGATAGTGAATTATTTACTCTCATCTGCACACAATTCTAGATCTTATCTGTATAGTCTCTACTAGTACTGCCAATTCATATCCTCTAACCTGACTGAGTAGATATTGAAATCATGCAAGTCAGGTTAATTTGAGCATTACCTTATATGGTAAACTTCCAATATATTTCTGAAGAGAGTATAATATGTAACATTGTTTTCACTTTGTTTTTCATGATGTTCATTATTACATCACATGAAAACATTGAAATACTACCACATCTTTCAACAGACCTGCTTTGTGATATTGGGTATTCCCAAAATACCACAGGTGAACATGAACAGATATGTCTGCTTTTCACGTCTATTAAGGTCAAAGTATAGGTCAAGGAGCAAACAATTTTCTTCACGATCATCCAAAAGTCATTAACCATCCACAGATATGCTAAAAATGTATAGATTATAATTTTCAGGATAATTTTATATATCCATGGTATTGTATTTTTATATAATCAGGTTTTAACAGCTTTCAAAATCAATGTACAGATGATGTCATTGTAACCCTGGTAAATATTAGCCACAATATACCACTCAGCTTTAGAGAACTTCTCTTTAACTTGATCGGTTAAGCATCCGACTAGTAAGTCAGAGGTCCCAGGTTCAAATCCTAGCGGAGGCATTGAAATAAATAATGACATGTGTTACATGTAAGAACCCAGGAATACTACTAATTAGCCCCACCAGTATTGCTGTCACCCCTGAAAACTCGAGTTGTTTCCTTGACAGGGAGTGTTTAACCCTGGTAAATACTAGCCACAATATACCGCTCGGCTATAGAAAACTTTTCTTGAGCTTGACTGGTTGAGCGTCAGACTAATAAGGCAGAGGTCCCAGG